AAACTTCACTTTTTATGACAAAACAGTAAAATCCCCTTATAATGAACATGCTCATAATGAATTGATGCTTACAATGAAGTAATTTTCATTCACCATGCATTTAAAATTGTTTAATTAGCTTAATTGATATAACAAATTATGCTTATTACAAATAAATCATCTGTTTCTGGTACTTTTATAAGAATGTTTTTCTATACTTATAATTTCTAACTTTCAATTAAAAGCAAACTATTGTCATGAAATATATGTACAGCATTCTTTAACCATTCACATATTTTTGTTTTTGGTTAACAGTGGTCTTATGGCATTGTTCTGTGGGAGTTGATGACCAGGGGAGTAACTCCTTACCCTGATGTAGAGACAAACAACCTTAAGAAGTATTTAACTGGGGGACATCGGTTGAAGAAACCCCGACAGTGTCCAGAGGCCGTGTAAGTATTTAACTGGGGGACATCGGTTGAAGAAACCCTGACAGTGTCCAGAGGCCGTGTAAGTACTTAACTGGAGGACATGGGTTAAAGAAACCCCGACAATGTCCAGAGGCCGTGTAAGTATTTAACTGGAGGACATCGGTTAAAGAAACCCCGACAATGTCCAGAGGCCGTGTAAGTATTTAACTGGAGGACATCGGTTAAAGAAACCCCGACAGTGTCCAGAGGCCGTGTAAGTACTTAACTGGGGGACATCAGTTAAAGAAACCCCGACAGTGTCCAGAGGCCGTGTAAGTATTTAAGTGGAGGACATTGGTTAAAGAAACCCCACAGAGTCCAGAGGCTGTGTTAGTCTACATTAACCTAAAGATTATCAATACTTAACTTTGGCAATCTCCAGAGGCTGTGTAAGTAATGTAAAAATTATCAATACTAAACTCTGGTAATGTCCAGAGGCCCTCAAAGTCTACAGTAACGTAAAGATTATCAATACTACATCCCAGAAGTATCAGAGACAATGTATGTCTCCCATCACATAAACTTTATCAGAATTAAATCACAGCAGTATCAGAGGCCTCCGAAGTCTCCAGTCACTGAAATCTCATCAATTCTAAACTGGTAGTGTCCAGAGACTGTATAAGTCTTCAATCTCTGTATTAAAGATTATCAGTTTTAAGCCCCAGCAATAACTAGAGGCTGTGCAAGTCGCCAGTCATATAAGCTATCAGCTTAAAACCCTCAGAGTCCAGAAATTGTTTTAATCTCTGATCACTTCAAGATGATCAACTTTTTGTGACTTTTGATATGTTTGCCATTGTAGTTATCTGCTGATGTTGAAGTGCTGGACGGACGTTCCTTCAGATCGACCCACATTCCCGGAGATCGGCGAGGAAATCAAACAATTCACGTCGGCTGAGGAGTCCAGTGATGCGTCCCAACCATTACAGACCAAAATAGAACCCGGGGGGTCACAGGAGTACCTGGGGGTGATGGGCTGAAGACATTGGGGTGATATGTTGATGTGAGGCTGGTTTAGGACAGGGATCCAAGTGTTCAGTTGGTGGAGATGATATTTTGTCTGGCTACGTCAACGAGAAGTCACACATTCATGTTTAGGACCTTCTACAACCAATTTGAATGGACCTAATGTTAAAAAAAAACACTGTGAAGTGGAAGGCTTATAACAATCTGTTATTTTAAGATTTGCTTCTTTTTAGCTTGCTTTGACAAAACAAATCTTGAAAAGATTTTGGAGGTCTGTTTTTAGAAGATACTTTTGTACTTTATATCAATAATATAAACAAACCCAGGTTGAATCAGAATTCATCTTGTTTTTCCTTAAATCAGAAAACATGTTCAACATAGTGTTTGTCCTATTAAATTCGGTTTTTGTGTATTTAATACATACATAATGTTTTTTGGTGTACTGTACAAACACTTACATGCATATGAGGGACCATCACTTTGGACTAATCAAAACCATATCAAAATATTATTCTAAGACGACCCATTAAGTAGTCATCAGATGTGATACAAATGTATTTGTATGATGTATTCTGGTAGAATGTCTCCATTTGCAAGTTTTGAGTGCCAAATTTTCTGAGGAACCATTGTCCATTTATACCAATATCTGAGAGAAGCAGAGGTGAAGTGAATATTATACCTTTATTTTTTACTCATTTTATGTGCAATTTTGTAGTATACATGTACAAATACATGCATGACATTCTAGTTTATACATTGGCAAACCCCCTAATATTTGGTGCATATAAATGTTTTTGTAGTCATTATTATTTATTGTTTTCATATCAGACTCTGTTGCATGCATGGTGCCATATTTTTAAATTTTTGTGAAACTTGTATGCTCATTCAGTACATGTACTGCATTTCCTGATATTAATAGACCTGTAGGCATTGAAAATATGTGCTAATCACATTGATGTGTGTGCTACAAAAAAAGTTTTTGATTTCTTTTGAGTGACAGTACCGATACATTTTTTGTACTATTTTACTTCTAAATCAAAAGTATACATGTACATTTTATTTTCTGTCTGTTTCAAAGTGCTTGCTGAAGAGTTTCAATTTGTTTCATAAAAACCATAATGCTTTTCTACTGATTTGTTGACACAAAAATGATCTTTTTTTTTCTAGGTGGAAAAAGAGAATTTTTTTGTGCCTTGACGATGGTTTTTAAGTTACTTGTAGATAATGTTTCCTATCAATCTACAACAGACAAATGTTGAGCTGAAATAGATCTTACTTTGCTTGCATTATATACATGTTTTTCAATAATATTTTATTATTCAATTTGTTCATATTTAAATTATTTTTATACCTTTTTTTAAAAAAATCAATTATATGTCTCTTTATTAATCTGTATTGATACACTTTTTATGCCAGATTTATTGTGTAAAATTCATTTGATTTATCGCCCTATTTCTGAATTCTATTATCATGCACACACAATCGAAATCGAATTTTATTGTCGAAAAAAGATTTTTTTGATTTATTTATTTCATTATAAAAGCATAAAAAGTAAAAGTAAGTATTTAAGAAATGCATACAATTACTTTAGTGTAAAAAGGGTTGTACATGTACATTGTTGCATTATAACGGTATTTGATCTTTAGATGAAACTGGTGTGTACAATTTTTTTCTTGAATTTTTACTGGATTAACATAAAAAGCTTTAAAAATTTACATATGCAATATTAAATCAATTTCTTTCGACATCAAAAGAGATTTACAGTGTTTTTTGTAAGTCCCAATATGATACAAAGACATACATGTATAGACTAAAACTGCTTAGCTTTTGCATTTTTATTTGCTGGTCATATGCTTTTAAGCATTTATATGGCAATTTTTACATGTGTATTGTTGCTTATATTGTATACATATTTTGAATAAAGTAATTTTTGTCCATGAAAAATATCCTTCTGTCAGATTTATCAAATACGCAAGCATTGCTGAAGTTTTTCGCTCAGTGGCAAAAGGGTGAGTAGACTTAATACTAGATCTAATGTATCATAAGTTGATTTTATGGCTCCACATTGTAAAACCTGCAATAAGATGTGACTTTACTCCTTTACCTCCTCTTTAACTAGGTATGGAGAGCTCTTTGAAATGCTAGGTCACATGATTGGTTTAGATTTTTTATGCCCCTCTTCAAAGAAGGGAGGGCATATTGCTTTGCTGTTGTCTGTCGGTTGGTCTGTCGGTCCAATTAGTTTCAGTTTATTTTCTTCACAACCCTTGCAAATAATGAAATGGTATACAGATTTATCAGATAAATATCTAGGACAATTAAGTTTTGTTTTGGGTATGATCGCGCCATTTTTGACAGAGTTATGCCCCCTGGACTTAGAAAATTCTGATTATTTGCATTTTCTTCGCACATACTGAAATGAAATTTGGTATACAGATTTATCAAATGAATATTTAGGTCAAGTTTGTTTTAAGTTCGATCGCGCCATTTTTGACGAGTTATGCCCCCTGGACTTGGAAAAATTCCAATTTGGTCGAGGGGGGCATAAGTGTTTTACAAACATCTCTTGTTCACAAGACTTTCCTACTTTTATACAAGTTTAATATGATTTCAATAGAATCATTTTACTTTAAAAGTGTTATGGCCAATATATGGTCCATGGGCCTCTTGTTGAACAGACTCTGCTTCATATAAGGAAATATTAAAAACGGGTCAGCTAAGACGGGAGCACAATTAGTGTCCATCAATTCCAAAAGGTTTGTTAGAAAACTTGCTATCGAAAGACTACAAAAATGTCGATGAGGAGCTCCATCGTCCTTATATCAAATTCAAGGTACTTGTGTGTACAATCAGAGTGGATTTAACTAAGTAATTTGGCTGCTGAGCAATCAGAGGATGTGAAAAATTCCGAGTTCCGTTATTATTGAAAAATCAGCTTTGTACAATATCAAAAAGTCTAGATTTTAATTTATTTTTATCTCACCTGAGGTGAAAGTTCAAGTGAGCTTTTTGATCATATTTTGAGTGTAGTCCATCTGTCTGCCTGTCTGTGGACATTTTCGACTTCTACTCCAGAACCACTCGCACAATTTCAACCAAACATGCCAAAAAGGCTCCTTGGGTGAAGAAAATTCAAGTTTGTTCAGAAATAGGAAAATTTGATGGCATGTTTAAAACATCTTCTCAAGAACCACTGCGCCAGGAAAGATTAAATTTAAGAGTAAAAAATGCTCATGTAGACGGCGTAGAGACAATTTTGTTCAAATCACGACCCCGGGGTTACAGCGTGGCCACAAGGGATGATCAAAGTTTTACCTAGGAATATATAGGAAAAATCTTTTAAATTCATCTGATGAAGAACAGCAAAGGCATGATTTATGGCAAGCCCTTTTACTATTTATTCAGAAAATAAATTTTATCTTCAATTTACAGAGATATCTCTCATTTTAGAGAGATATCTCTTAAAAAATAGAGATATCTCCCAACTTAAAGAGATATCTCTTATTTCTAAGAGATATCTCTATAAGAAAGAGATATCTTTTTAAGTTAGAGAGATATCTCTTATACTTAGAGAGATATCTCTTTTACTTTAAGAGATATCTCTTTCTCCTTGAAAGATATCTCTTTCGTAAAAAGAGATATCTCTGAAAGTTAAAGAGATATCTCTTTCATCTAAAGAGATATCTTTTTCACCTAGAGAGATATCTCTTTCACTTTGAGAGATATCTCTTTAAGTAAAAGAGATATCTCTCTAAGTTTATCATAAGAGATATCTCTCAAAGTGAAAGAGATATCTCTCAAAAGTGTATACAAGAGATATCTCTCAAGCAGAAAAAGATATCTCTTTATTGCAAAGTGATATCTCTCTTCATTATTTTTATTTAAATTCCATTTTAAATTACTTCTCCCTTTACCGGAAGTATTTCAAAAGCTGAGAAAACTCGGTCCAGAGTCTGAAAGTGCTTGTCTCGCGGGGTTCCTCACTTCCGGGGTACCTAACACATGCCTGACATGGATTTGTGTATTGAGTTTAGCATGTCTCTGGTTTACGCAAAGCTTTTGATGAATGTTAAATAGTTTTACTTTTACAAACCGGAATGTGTAATGTCTCCGAATCAACTATGTACGAGTTAACTTTTTGTTTTGTTTATTTCAAGAGTTATTTCCCGTAGTTTGGCAAGCGCCATATTTTACACGTGCAATTGTGACTTTGCGACTTTGTAGCCCTATAGTGTAAGTACACTTTCATTTGATATTATATTAGGATCTAAGAATTCATGTGTTAAAACGCAAACCTTGTAATGTCAAATGTTTCGGCAATTGTAGTTATTATTTTTGCATTGTCAACATGACCTGGTTTTTTGTGTAAGGCTAAGCACGTGGTTTGTGTTCAGATAATTTTCGGAGATTTATACCATCTACTAATCTAGTCACTGTATGTTATACTCGAGTATGTAAATTTTTAAGGATAATTTGATGATTTCTTGCCGATTTATTACTTCTTTCTTGTGTTTATTGTTTAGTATTAGATCTATGTTAAAAGTAAAAGTATGGAAACTCGGTTCTGTTATAAATGTTACATAATATAGTCAACATTTTATGTCAGTCATTTTGTATGTAATTTCTAATCACTTCTTATGTAATTTGCAGTCTTTTACTGCACCAATACTGAATAAAGGAGATGAAGCCTTCTCAATAACCGTTCCAGTATAAAATGGTTTATCGACTTACGATGTCATAAAAATTTGGGTGCGAGTGTCCTCCAGGAAAATTTCAATCGAAGTACAGGTAAACAAATCAGAGTGTCATCAGTTTCTTGTTTATTTTGAGGGAAAATTAGGTGTTTTATTTTCAGCTGAATGAAATAGTTTTGTAATCATCTTTTGCCTTAATTTGTTTACAGAATTTTCTTGAATCCGAGGACAATAATGTTTTTATCAGCTGATTGTAGAGGAGGAGTTTTGTCAATATTAGATGGGTACTAACGTCATATTGTGGCTGCATCACTTTTGTTTGGGTAAATATTTTTTAAATATACTTATTTTTCAGTAAAGTTTTACCTTTCGTACTTTTTGTGCATTAAATGTTTGTTGCAATTTAGATCTATTTGAGTATTTCACGAGAGTTTCTGTTCATATGTTTTGCCCAAAGGGACTTGTTTCAGTACTAAATTTTTAACCCACAGTAAACATATTATAACACAAGGTAGCTCGCTGAGTGGAAACTTAATCATGGAACGGTTTGTGCTGATCCCGCACCGAGATTTTGATTGGATAAAAATCTGTTTCTAAAATTACATCAGATAAACATCTTAATGTTTTCAGGTAAAGTTAGACGTAAACAAGTTCTATTTACTCACTTCAATATTTAAACAATGGAATTGAATTTTTCTTTCAAAACGCTACTCCTCCTACAGTTTTGGTTTGATTTCATTATAACTTGGCACACAAGTAGAATACACTAAGATACATAATTCTGTATATCGGTTTTTGATTTTGATGAACGTTGTTGCGGTGGTTACTAAAAATTGAAATTTCTGTGAAATTGTTTCAAAATGCTACTCCTCCTACAGTTTTGGTCTAATTTCATTATAACTTGGCACACAAGTAGACTACTTTAAGAACATAAAGAGACTTTATCAACAATCATTATTCTATATAGTTTCAAATCCCAGCTGCTTAAGTACTTTTCTCTTCCTTTGCTATAAGTTCAAACCAGTAGAGCTTCAGTCTCGACAGAGACTTCTGGTTTAATTTTGCTCTTTGCCAAAGACTAGTACATACCATTCTATGGTTGAGTTTGACTTTCCATCCAACAAGCAGAGTTTGGACGCTGATTACGGAGATACAAGTGAAGAAAATAGAGACAAGCATGCCATATTATATTTATATGGGTGTGTAGATAAATTATCGTAGAAGAAATAGGTGTAAAAAGTTTACCCGTGCATTTCCTCTTAAAGTGTAAATGAGCATGATTTTAAGGGAGGCTGTACTCCCTGTAATTTGGAGTTAGATACCTTGTGTTATTATTATACTTTAGGTCAGAAATTTATAACAGAAGCTGCATTTAACAAACTTCAAATCTCTTAACATGACCATATTTCTCACTGTAGAGACTGAGAGTATGTTCCCTATTTATAGAGCATGGTTTAGGGATTTTGAAATTTTCTGTCTTCTCAAATTCATCCGCATGGCACAGTGGTTAGAGCGTCTGCTCTAGAGTCGCAAAGTAAGGAGTTGATACTTACGTCTTGGGTTTGAATCTCACCGTGGGATGTGGAGACTTGTCTTTGGAATGATACAGTATAAACCGTGGCCCAATATCACAGTAGATATTGGCTCAAAAAAGATACCTTCCTGCTTAATGGCCCTGAGTGCCAAGCATAGGACAAAATTTGCAGCTCCCCACCGGTGTTTCCATATGAGTGAAAAATTCTTGAGCGGGATGTTAAACAAATCTGTCTGTTGAATTAAGTCATTGATATTAAACAATTGTATACATTAAAACTTATTTTATAGCAGAGGAACAAGAGAACCATGCAGTAACACAGATAAAAGATGCAGTTCCCAAGAGATCCAAAGTCGGCAGCTCCTAAGGCTATACTGACTGAATATCAGCATCCAAAACAAATTGATACAAATCAAATACAGGTATGAAATTGATGCAACAAAATAAGTTCTAGGACAAATATTAAATTTATTTTTTGTAAGACAAAGCATATCAAACCAGAAGTCTCTGTCGAGACTGAAGCTCTACTGGTTTGTTCTTATAGCAATGGAAGGGAAAAGTTCTTAAGCAGTTGGGAATTAAAACTTTACCACAGAAATAAAAAGAATAATGATCCTTGATTAAGTCTCTTTATGTTCTTAGTATAGTCTACTTGCATGCCACATTATATTATAATCAGACTTAAACTGTAGGAGGAGTAGCGTTTTGAAAGAATTTCATAGAAATTTCTATTTTTAGTGACCAGGGCAACATCGTTCATCGAAATCAAAAACCGATATACGGAATTATGTATCTTAATGTAGTCTACTTGTGTGCCAAGTAATATTGAAATCAGACCAAAACTGTAGGAGAAGTAGCATTTAGAAAGAATTTTTCAGAAATTTCTATTTTTAGCAACAACGGCAACACCGTTCATCAAAATCATAAACCGATACACAGAATTATGTATCTTAGTGTGGTCTACTTGTGTGCTAAGTTATATTGAAATCAGACCAAAATGTAGAAGGAGTAGTATTTTGAAAGAATTTCACAGAAATTTCTATTTTTAGTAACCACGGCAACAATGTTCATCGAAATCAAAAACCGATACACAGAATTATGTATCTTAGTGTAGTCTACTTGTATGCCAAGTTATATTGAAATCAGACCAAAACTGTAGGAGGAGTAGCATTTTGAAAGAATTTCACGGAAATTTCTATTTTTAGTAACAACGGCAACACCGTTCATCGAAATCAGAAACCGATACACAGAATTATGTATCTTAGTGTAGTCTACTTGTGTGCTAAGTTATATTGAAATCAGACCAAAAATGTAGAAGGAGTAGCATTTTGAAAGAATTTCACAGAAATTTCTATTTTTAGTAACAACGGCAACATCGTTCATCGAAATCAGAAACCGATACACAGAATTATGTATCTTAGTGTAGTCTACTTGTGTGCCAAGTAATATTGAAATCAGACCAAAACTGTAGGAGAAGTAGCATTTAGAAAGAATTTTACAGAAATTTCTATTTTTAGCAACAACGGCAACACCGTTCATCGAAATCAAAAACCGATACACAGAATTATGTATCTTAGTGTAGTCTACTTGTATGCCAAGTTATATTGAAATCAGACCAAAACTGTAGGAGGAGTAGCATTTTGAAAGAATTTCACAGAAATTTCTATTTTTAGTAACAACGGCAACACCGTTCATCGAAATCAGAAACCGATACACAGAATTATGTATCTTAGTGTAGTCTACTTGTGTGCCAAGTTATATTGAAATCAGAACAAAACTGTAGGAGGAGTAGCATTTTGAAAGATTGTTTACAGACAGACAGACAGACGGACAGACAGACGGACGGACGACGGACGCATTACTATCGCATAAGCTCTTCTGGTCTCTGACCAGTAGAGCTAAAAATGACAAAAAATTCTGTGATGTCCAGAGATGTTTTACCCCCACCCCACCTCAAGGTTTTAGACATAGACCCCTTTATTAGCTCACCTGAGCCGAAGGCTCAAGTGAGCTTTTCTGATCAAAATTTGTCCGTCGTCTGTCGTCGTTGTCGTTGTCGTTGTTGTTGTTGTCGTCGTTGTAAACTTTTCACATTTTCATCTTCTTCTCAAGAACCACTGGGCCAATTTCAACCAAACTTGGCACAGAGTATCCTTGGGTAAAGGGGATTCAAGTTTGTTCAAATGAAGGGCCGCGCCCTTTTCCAAGGGGAGATAATCATGAATTTGTTAAAAATTAATGGCATTTTTAAAAAATCTTCTTCTCCAGAACCGCTGGGCCAGGAAAGATGAAACTCATGTGGAAGCATCCTCAGGTAGTGTAGATTCAAGTTTATTCATATCATGACCCCCAGGGCAAGGGTGGGGCCAAAATGGCCGACCCAAGTTTTACATAGGAATATATAGAAAAAATCTTTAAAAATCTTCTTCTCGAGAACTACTGGGCCAGGAAAGATGAAACTCATGTGGAATCATCCTCAGGTAGTGTAGATTCAAATTTGTTCAAATCATGACCCCCAGGGCAAGGGTGGGGACAAAATGGCCGACCCAAGTTTTACATAGGAATATATAGGAAAAATCTTTAAAAATCTTCTTCTCCAGAACCACTATGCCAGGAAAGATGAAACTCATGTGGAATCATCCTCAGGTAGTGTAGATGCAAGTTTGTTCAAATCATGACCCCTGGGGCAAGGGTGGGGCCAAAATGGCCGACCCTTGTTTTTCATAGGAATATATTAGAAAAATCTTTAAAAATCTTCTTCTTGAGAACCACTGGGCCAGGAAAGATGAAACTCATGTGGAATCATCCTCAGGTAGTGTAGATTCAAGTTTGTTCAAATCATGACTCCCGGGGCAAGGGTGGGGCCAAAATGGCCGACCCTTGTTTTACATAGGAATATATTAGAAAAATCTTTAAAAATCTTCTTCTCCAGAACCACTGGACCAGGAAAGATCAAACTCATGTGGAATCATCCTCAGGTAGTGAAGATTCAAGTTTGTTCAAATCATGACCCCCGAGGCAAGGGTGGGGCCAAAATGGCCAACCCTTGTTTTACATAGGAATATATAGGAAAAATCTTTAAAAATCTTCTTCTCGAGAACCACTGGGCCAGGAAAGATGAAACTCATGTGGAATCATCCTCAGGTAGTGTAGATTCAAGTTTGTTCATATCATGACCCCCGGGGCAAGGGTGGGGCCAAAATGGCCGACCCAAGTTTTACATAGGAATATATAGGAAAAATCTTTAAAAATCTTCTTCTCGAGAACCACTGGGCCAGGAAAGATGAAACTCATGTGGAATCATCCTCAGGTAGTGTAGATTCAAGTTTATTCAAATCATGACCCCCGGGGCAAGGGTGGGGCCAAAATGGCAGACCCAAGTTTTACATAGGAATATATAGGAGAAATCTTTAAAAATCTTCTCCTCCAGAACCACTGGGCCAGGAAAGATGAAACTCATATGGAATCATCCTCAGGTAGTGTAGATTCAAATTTGTTCAAATCATGACCCCCAGGGCAAGGGTGGGGCCAAAATGGCCGACCCAAGTTTTACATAGGAATATATAGGAGAAATCTTTAAAAATCTTCTCCTCCAGAACCACTGGGCCAGGAAAGATGAAACTCATATGGAATCATCCTCAGGTAGTGTAGATTCAAGTTTGTTCAAATCATGACCCCCAGGGCAAGGGTGGGGCCAAAATGGCCGACCCAAGTTTTACATAGGAATATATAGGAAAAATCTTTAAAAATCTTCTTCTCCAGAACCACTATGCCAGGAAAGATGAAACTCATGTGGAATCATCCTCAGGTAGTGTAGATGCAAGTTTGTTCAAATCATGACCCCTGGGGCAAGGGTGGGGCCAAAATGGCCGACCCTTGTTTTTCATAGGAATATATTAGAAAAATCTTTAAAAATCTTCTTCTCGAGAACCACTGGGCCAGGAAAGATGAAACTCATGTGAAATCATCCTCAGGTAGTGTAAATTCAAATTTGTTCAAATCATGACCCCCGGGGCAAGGGTGGGGCCAAAATGGCCGACCCAAGTTTTACATAGGAATATATAGGAAAAATCTTAAAAAATCTTCTTCTCCAGAACCACTGGGCCAGGAAAGATGAAACTCATGTGGAATCCTCCTCAGGTAGTGTAGATTCAAGTTTATTCAAATCATGACCCCCGGGGCAAGGGTGGGGCCAAAATGGCCGACCCAAGTTTTACATAGGAATATATTAGAAAAATCTTTAAAAATCTTCTTCTCCAGAACCACTGGAGCAGGAAAGATCAAACTCATGTGGAATCATCCTCAGGTAGTGTAGATTCAAGTTTGTTCAAATCATGACCCCCGAGGCAAGGGTGGGGCCAAAATGGCCAACCCTTGTTTTACATAGGAATATATAGGAAAAATCTTTAAAAATCTTCTTCTCGAGAACCACTGGGCCAGGAAAGATGAAACTCATGTGGAATCATCCTCATGTAGTGTAGATTCAAGTTTGTTCAAATCATGACCCCCGGGGCTAGAGTGGGGCCAAAATGGCCGACCCAAGTTTTACATAGGGATATATAGGGAAACTTTTTAAAATCTTCTTTTAAAGTACTTCAAAGCTATGATTAGTGATATTTATATGGAATCATCCTCAGGTAGTGTAGATTCTAATTTGTTCAAATGATGAACGCCTGGAGGAGGGGGGGGGGGGGGGGGGAGAAATTCAAGCCCTATTTGCTCAGGTGAGCGCTGTGGCCCCTGGGCCTCTTGTTCAACTTTACTGTCATCTTACCTCACTATAAAAATAGGGTAAAATACATGTACCCTTGTTAACAGATTAAATGTATAATAATTATATATACATGTATGGATTTTTTTTTACAAGATGACTAATATACTAGTCAACATTGGCCAACTTTAAAAATGTTTGTTTGATGTAGTTCTACCCACTTTTATTACGATTGGTAGGTAGGTATCAATAGGTTTTTTTTCCTTTTGCCTTACAGTATTGAACAGATTGATAACTGTCATATTTGAAACCATGCACATACTCAGAAATTTGTTGATATTTTCATTACTATCTAGAAAGACTTTATATTCATAAATAGAAAAGCATCCTAAAAAAAATTGATACCTTATCTTTAAAACATATGTGGACTTTAAGGGGGGGAAATTGAAAATTTTGAAGTGCCCAAAAAATGATTGCTAATGGGTAGGGGCCATTTTAACAGGTCGGTCAGAGTAAAACAAACAAATCTGTTTTTTATACCCCCTTGTCCATCTGTCTAGCTGTCCATCTGTTTGTGCAAATGTGTCTGGTCCATATCTTTCTTACGTAGGGACATTAGAATCTACTACTCCACACAAAGATTGCCCATGACCCAAGGGTGTGTCATGACCTTGACCCAAGGTTTCATTTGGGAAAGTTCAAGGTCATTTGAAGAAAAAGTTCATAATTTGTGTCTGGTCCATATCTTTCTTATTGATAAACTTGGTAGGTTCTCATTTCAAACAAAGATTGCCCATGACCCAAGGGTGTGTCATGACCTTGATCCAAGGTCATTTGGGGAACTTTAACTAAGGTCACTGGAAGAAAAAGTTCATAATTCATGTGTGATACTTCTCTTCATTATCTAAAAACTTAATTCTGAAAAACCCAGCGGAGGGTATTTTGTCCCGTTAGGACAGTTCTAGTTATTGTTGGCCTGAAAATGCAACAAATATTTTTATTCCTCCTTAGAAATTATTTTTATGCCCTGCCATGAATATGGCTGGGGCATATTGTCTGCCATGAATACAGCTGGGGCATTTAGTGTTTGTCATGTCCGTCTTTCCATCACACTTTGCGTTTAGCTCTGCTCAATTCTCATTTTCAAAGAAACTATCCAAGATAATTTTTTCATCAAACTTCATAGGCAGATGGATGTTGATGAGAGCTGAGCAACTGCATCAACATTCTTTGACCTTGACATTTTCTTTGACCTTGACCTCACTTTTCTTAAATTAGTGTTAAATTCAGCTTTTAAGGATACCATTTAAGATATTTTGATCAAACTTCATATGTTGATACAGTGTACATGTGTACTGATGAGAGCTATTCAATTGCATCAATATTTTTTACCTTGACTTTTCCTTTGACCTCACTCTTTCTAAATTAGTGTAAAACTTTATATGCTAATACATACTGATGAGAGCTATTCATTTGCATCAACATTTTGACCTTGACCTTTCATTTGACCTTGGACTCACTTTTAACAAATTGTGATTAAGTTAAATATAAAAAAAAAACCATTCTTTATATTATTTTTCAAATTTCATATGCTGATACATAATGATGAGAGCTTTTCAACTGCATTAACATCTTCGACATAGGTCCTTCCTTTGACCTAGAACTCGCTTTTCTCCAATAAGACAATTAGCGTTAAAACTTCATATGCTGAATTGCTGATGCATACTGATATAACCAATTCAACTGCATCACTTTTCAAGATATTCTGAAATTTCACACAGTTACACAAATTCAACTTTTCATGTTGAATTACTGATATACCCTTGGCGGGGCATTCATGTTCTATGGACATATTTCTACTGGTCTCTTTTGTGAATAATGATGCATTTACGAAGAAGAATTTCCATTCTTTTTCTGAGGTTGGCTCATTTAGTAAAGTTTCCCACTTTTCTTTTTATATGCCCGGGCCCCAAGACCATAAACTGAGAATAGACTTAAGTCCAAATTTCAAATCAGAGTAATTTTTTAAAGAAAGTTCAAAATGAAACAAAATTTTCAAGTTATGTTTATATCAAAATATTTACAAAACTTGCAATTTTTTTAAGCTTGTTCATTAAATAATAATGAAAATATTCAAAATTAAAATTTTGACTTAAGTCTATTCTCAGTTTATGGTTTTGGGATCTGATCTGAGGTGTGTATTGCTTTTGTCCTGTCTGTTGGCAACTTCAACCTCTGCCTTAACTTTTGAACCATGAGAGAGACTTCATATTTAATATGCATACTCCACTAATTAACGTCTTTCAAAAGACACGAAGGCCAATGACTTGTGACCTTGACTGTGACCTATATGCTAAAATAGCTTATTTGAACATTAGCTATGACTTTTGATTCATTAAAGATAGGGACATCATATTTTGAATTCTTTCTCCACTAATTAAGCTCTATCAAATGACACCAAGGTCAATGACCTTGTGACCTTTACTGTGAGTTTATCGATTTAAAAACCATTTTGAACTTTTGCCATACATTTTGAACCATTAAAGATAAAAACTTCATATATGATATGCATACTCCACTAATTAAGCTTTTTCAAATGACACCAATTTCAATGACCTTGTGACCTTGACCTAGATGCTAAAAATAAATTTTTCGAATTTGTAAAATGTCGTCGCCAGGTGCAAAGTGTTTCACAAACAAATCTTGTTATGAAAGAGTTTTAAATATTTTAATTTCTGTAGAATTTTATTTTACATATAAAAACCAAAAAATATATTTAAAATCAAATCATTTTTATTTCAGTACTTTGTGACAGTGGGAAGATAGAATTTAAAAAATGGACATGGCACAATACTACTGCATCAGAGATCAATCCAGGTTTACTTATAATTTGAAGAAAAACAGTCAAGCATCATTTGGAGCTACATATGTCACTGCCTTAACAATAGGCCAGCTTATATAACCAAGCAAGCACAGTGACCAGTTGTACCTATGATGTTGGAAGAGATCCTAACAACCTTCCAGTACATTCATCACTACCTGCAAAGAAATAAAAATTCAAATGACTTGTATCGACACTTTTGTACTTCATCTGGCCTGTATTTTCAGCAATCATTAGCCTTTACACTGTTGCTTCCTTCAAACAAAATTGCATAAGTACTTACTTGCAGGTGTAAAATGTTTGAAACAGTTTGCTTGTCCCAAAGGAAATTCTCTGCCAATTAGCAGTGCATGAGCAGTTGATTGATGTCACAGTTCCATTGGCAAAATATTTGTAGCTGAATGGTGCCATATAAAACACTTTTAACAAGAACTTGGAAACATCCTAGAAGTGAGCATCTACAAGAAATTAAGTGAATGCTTTCTTGAATGTTAACAATGTTATAAAATGCTTGTGTACATCATATATATTTATATATACAACTAATTACTCATGTAACTACCAAATATACAAAAATTAAACTTCATTAAATTTGTTCTTGATGTTTATTTATCACCGTATACAACGGGTAACGCGGGGGAGTCGCTAAAAAGTATGGGGGAGTCGTTTTCAACGTATGGGGGAGTAGATTTTCACCGCTTCGGAGTCAGAGGAGATGTGGGTCACGTCTTTTTTCGGTATATATAAGATGTATTTACAAAAAACAAATATCCCACGGAAGATGGCAATAGTTAAGCTTTATCGTGGTCATTTGTCCGGCTATCATATACGTCTAGTTTTCTCAAACACTTCGAAACTATTTGACAGTTTTCATATTTACGTTGATCGGGTAGTAAAAACATGCATGATTTGCACAATCTACGGCTTGCGTAGGGGTTCTCACATTTAAAACAGCGAGAGAAAACGTTTATCTTTTAAATGCAACAACCTAAACTTGACTAGACTTTATAAAAATTAATAATTAAGACATTTTCTCTTCAGACAGTAACGGATACGTAGGGGGGAGTCGTTTATTGGAAAGCACATCGCAGGGGGAGTCGCAAAATAAAGTCAAATGCATATACTTGGTGTTGTTTTCATCTCTTTTATACTGCCAATACCTTTTTATTTACTCGTAGATATCTATAAATCTATGTTTGGTTATTTACTTTATAATCTGAAGTTACGAAAAGAGATTTTTTCTGTGGCTTTATCAGTTCCAGAAAACAATCAGCAATTTAGATTACATGAACAACTGGATTATATATCATCGGAGCACATGTGCTTGGGGACAGGACCCTCCTCCTCAGTATGTAATGTTCGTACATGTATATCACAAAAATTCAATTCACGAATTCACGAATCCTCACTTCCAATATGGAAGCATCTCCATAAAAAAAATCAACTAGATTTATAATATTGTCGTTTACTGATTTGTATTTGAAAATCAAAATCAGTAAACGACAATATGAAAAATTTCCTGATAATATTAACCATTTTTTTTAATTAGAAAAAGGCAGATCTCTGACGCGTCTTCACGCCCCTTGACGTTTTCTTTGGAAAGGGGGTTAAGTTTAACTGGTATATTCTCACGACTAGGTTCACAATTTATTATTTATTCATCATACCGGTATATAGTAACACATCTTCAGACACAAACGAATTCGAATTAGTACTTTAATTGAGAATATTTTGGATTATCTGAGGTTTATACACATAGGTAAATGTACAGAATGAATGCTGAAGAAGGGACTGGATTGCATATTACCTAAAGCGCTTGAAATGTATGTCTATGATAAATAAAATGAGAAGTGTCAATGTAAAAATAATTAACCAAAAATTTTGAAAAGAAGAAATACGAAAATATTTGTTCAGTGTATACATTTCATTATCATGATACCCTCCCTTACCTTGCCCCAGCTATATACAGTTCCTCAGAACATGTTACCCCCTTTACCCCTCTCCCTTTCTCAGTTTCGTGAACACATAGCATGGCGGGTTGTTGTACCAGAATCAGTCTGAGGCAACTAGCATTATACATTCATAGACAGGGGTTCGAGGGCAACATGCGTTTCATTGGCGTCGGAAGCAAATTGAAAGTGGGGGGGGGGGGGCTAAGTTGTAAAAAAAAAAATTATAACTTCTCAAAAAACCAGACAAGCAAAAAAAAAAAAAAAACACAACCGATGTGTCTGTGGAAAGTGGGGGGCTAAATCTACGAAGCAATGTTCTTTGTCTATACTAAGTATATGTTTGGAAAAAAAGTGGGGGGGGGGGGGGGGCTAAGTCTATACTAAGTATATATTAGGATAAAAAGTTGGGGGCTAAGCCCCCATAGCCCCCCCCCCCCTCCGTTCCGACGCCTATGCGTTTTGTCGGACCCAAGAACCAAACTGTTTGCACGAGACGATTAGGCCGAAGGCAAGGGGTCGAAAAAACACGTTTTGCCAGATCTAGAGAACACATTCGATAAATGTTTTGTTATGCATTTTACTATTTATTATGATATTATCATGATGAAATTTTTGTTAACCCTCACAGCATTGAAAAACTTTCAATTCCGAAAAGTTCTGACAGCTGACACCGCCCACACTTTGACGTAAACGGTGCAATATCTCATCGAAAGGTCCAACATCTCGCTCCACGGTCAAACAGCTATTTATTTGACTTATGAAAACAGTAGAAAGGTTATTCTTTTTAATGTAAATTTATGTAACAATTTTAAAAGTATAACAAACAAAAATTACAGACAACTCACCTGAAAAATTTTGACAAGCAAAAAAAAAAAAAAAAAAAACAATGGGTTGGTGAAAGGAGGTTACAACAGTTTGACAATCAAATTGTATTAACACATTAGCAAATAATAGTTACTATAATTTAAGTATTCTGCAACAATAATAATAAAAAAATGTTTAATATTATTAAGAAATTTTCCAAATTATTAATCGGGTTGTTCTTTTTTTATGGAGAGGCTTTCATATTGGAAGTGAGGATTCGTGAATTCGTGAATTGAATTTTTGTGATATACATGTACGAACATTACATACTGAGGAGGAGGGTCCTGTCCCCAAGCACATGTGCTCCGATGATATATAATCCAGTTGTTCATGTAATCTATATTGCTGATTGTTTTCTGGAACTGATAAAGCCACAGAAAAAATCTCTTTTCGTAACCTCAGATTATAAAGTAAATAACCAAACATATAGATTTATAGATATCTACGAGTAAATAAAAAGGTATTGGCAGTATAAAAGAGATGAAAACAACACCAAGTATATGCATTTGACTTTATTTTGCGACTCCCCCTGCGATGTGCTTTCCAATAAACGACTCCCCCCTACGTATCCGTTACTGTCTGAAGAGAAAATGTCTTAATTATTAATTTTTATAAAGTCTAGTCAAGTTTAGATTGTTGCATTTAAAAGATAAACGTTTTCTCTCGCTGTTTTAAATGTGAGAATCCCTACGCAAGCCGTAGATTGTGCAAATCATGTATGTTTTTACTACCCGATCAACGTAAATATGAAAACTGTCAAATAGTTTCGAAGTGTTTGAGAAAACTAGACGTATATGATAGCCGGACAAATGACCACGATAAAGCTTAACTATTGCCATCTTCCGTGGGATATTTGTTTTTTGTAAATACATCTTATATATACCGAAAAAAGACGTGACCCACATCTCCTCTGACTCCGAAGCGGTGAAAATCTACTCCCCCATACGTTGAAAACGACTCCCCCATACTTTTTAGCGACTCCCCCGCGTTACCCGTTGTATACGGTGATTTATAGTGTATTTAAATAAGTATCCAATATTTGTCTTGTTATACTGAAGGATTGTTAAGAAAATGTCGTTCGTTGAAACAAATGTGCAAACAAGTTACATTCTGCACAGATAGCAATTTTTGTGGAGAACCTATCAACATATATTTTCAATCGTTGGAATGTAATGTTAGGCAAACAGTAGGAGAATTATACTTGTTAACAAATGTATTTAATCAATCAAATTTCAAATAGATGATTTAATTTTATAAGAAAGCAATGACAAATCTTTAACTAGAATTATGGTCCATTGATTTTATCACCATGGTGTGTGAGCTTTTGTGAACTTGATACTGAACTAGTAAGTTTGAAATATTGCAGTAAAGAAAAGTGCAACCCAAAAATTTATCCTGTACCTGATTTAAAATGAGTCCCAGCATCAATTCTTGGAATATGCCACACTCTTCATGAGTATAAGAATTATTGGATATGTGTCAGTAACAGATTTATACTGGTACATGTAAATGAATGGCACATTCAGTCGAATCATTGTCCCTTTTTCGGAACCTCCTGGATCCCTGTAAAATTTTTGATGATAAAAGTAGATAAATGTTCCATCATAGAATGATGAATGTCCTATGGACCCAGTGAGGGCCTGTTGGAAGACACCGTTTGATTGTTCTAGCTGTGTCTGTCTCTTAATAGTAAGAGTACTAGTATTTCGGAAGAGGGTCATAAGGCTTTACAGTTAATATAAATTGATTGTACATGTGTGTTGTTTAATGTCTTACAGTTAATATTGAAAATGAGTATATACATACCTGTGTAAATTAAAAAAGTAATGTTGGACATTTTTATTTCTGAACTATTTACAAATCAAAGAAAAACATTCTATCCGGATTATGTTTAATCGACCCTGTATTCCCATGATTGACGAATTTGGTCACATGCATTTCCTATTTGTTTTAATTAAATTTGCATTCTATATATATCCCGACTTCGGCTGCCCCGTGAGCTAAATCCAGGCACATAGAAACAGGGAGGGGGGGGGGGTGCGCAACAATACCTCTTCTATAGAGAATGTGCATTGAAGGGTTTGTTGCCCCCCCCCCCCCCCCCACTTCTTACCACAGTATAGAATAACAGTATGGTGATATCATGGAAATGTAGTATTTTATGCTATAAAAATTGGAAGTGAAAGGAATTTGGTCTTGAACAAAATTGGCCACTAACACACACCCCCTCCTGAAAAAGGATTATCGAGTTTGGTCAACTTTTACTGGTTGCGCCCACCCCCGCCCCGCCCCCTTTCAAAAACGATGTAATGTGCCTGAAATCAATATATGGAACCAATCTTTGGAGAACAATTTAGTTTGAAAACCATTTCAACTTACTTTTATGCTATAAAATGCTCGTTACCCATTTGGAATAGCTTTTATGTACTGTATGTACGTAATTTACTAAAACAATAAAGCGATTAAACGTTGTTTACCTGTATCAATCAATCCATTTTCTCCTTCTTCTTTTTCAATAATCAAAAAACGAACGACTTAACAAATATTACTTCCTGTTTCGCTTTCGTTTTCAACGGGAGAATTAATTATGTTATTTTAAGGGTGATTTGAAAAGAGATATCTCTTTCATTAAAAGAGATATCTCTTTAGCTTAGAAAGATATCTCTTTTTGGAAATCTATAGAGATATCTCTCTAACTAAGAGAGATATCTCTTTTAAACTTGTTAAAGAGATATCTCTCTAACTTTAAGAGATATCTCTCTCGCTGAAAGAGATATCTCTCTAGCTTATAAAGATATCTCTCTTACAAAAAGAGATATCTCTCTAACAAAAAGAGATATCTCACTATCAAAAAGAGATATCTCTTTTGTTTAAAGAGATATCTCTATTAGTCAAAGAGATATCTCTATAGGCTTAAGAGATATCTCTCAAATTGAAAGAAAAATTTATTTTCCGAATAAATAGTAAAAGAGCTTGCCATAATGATTAGTCATGTTTATATGAAAGCATTCTCTATGGCAAGCCCTTTTACTATTTATTCGGAAAATAAATTTCATCTGAAAATTACAGAGATATCTCTCATTTTAGAGAGATATCTCTTAAAAATAAGAGATATCTCTCAACTTTAAGAGATATCTCTTATTCTAAAGAGATATCTCTCAAGGAGAAAGAGATATCTCTTAAAGTTAGAGAGATATCTCTTATACATAGAGAGATATCTCTTTTTCTTTGAGAGATATCTCTTTCTCCTTGAGAGATATCTCTTTCGTGATAAGAGATATCTCTGAACGTTAAAGAGATATCTCTGATCGTTAGAGAGATATCTCTTTCAACTAGAGAGATATCTCTTTCACTTAGAGAGATATCTTTCCAAGTTAAAGAGATATCTCTTTAAGTAAAAGAGATATCTCTCTAAGTTTATCTTAAGAGATATCTCTCAAAGTGAAAGAGATATCTTTCAAAAGGGTCTAAAAGAGATATCTCTGAAGCAAAAAGAGATATCTCTTGATTGCAAAGAGATATCTCTTTTCATTATGTTTATTTAAATTCCATTTGAAATGACTTCTCCCTTTACCGGAAGTGAACTTTTTATTCATTATTTCAAAAGCTGAGAAAATTCGGTCCAGAGTCTGTTAGTCTCGTCACGTGACTCGCGAGATTTTACGATAATTTTCACTTCCTCGCACATGGTCATGGTGAATGTGTATTGAGTTCAGCATGTTTCTGGTTTACACACAGCTTTCAGGGGGAAATTAAATAGTTTTACAAAGCCGAAGGGTTGTCCGACTTACGATGTATGAATTTCATGTCATAAGAAATTGGGTGCGAGCGTCCACCAGGAATATTTCGATCGAAATACAGGTAAACAAATCAGAGAGTGTCATCCGTTTCTTGTTTATTTTGAGGGAAAATGGAGTGTTTTATTCTTAACCGAATGAAATAGTTTCAAAATTATCTTTTGCCTTAATTTGTTAACAGATTTCTCTTGAATCCGAGATGTTATTCATCAGCTGATTATAGAGGAGGAGTTTTGTCATTGATGGGAACCAACGTCATATTTATGATATTGTGGCTGCATCACTTTTGTTTGGGTAATTTTTTAATATACTTTTTATGCCCCCGTAAACGAAGTTTCGGGGGTAATTAGTTTTTGTCGTGTCCGTCTGCCTGTCTGTTTGTCCGCAAAAACTTTCACCTTGCCCATAACTTTTGATTTAGTGGAGCTATGGCTTTCATATTTCATATGTATATTCCTTGTGTAAAGACCTTTCTTTGGGTACCACCAAATTTGACCTTTTGACCTTGACCTTGGAGTTTGACCCACTTTAAGAATACAACATTGACAGAAATTTTTGAAGGGTTAGGACTAGGGCATTCATACTTCACAAATTTAATCCTTGTGACAAGACCTTTCATTTGATTTCAAGAACCTTGACCATCTGACCTTGACCTTGGTGTTTGACCTACTTTTTACAAACTTTAACCTTGACCATAACTTCTGAATAGTTGGGGCTAGAGCTTTCATATTTTACATGTGTAATCCTTGTGACAATACCTTTCATTGGATATCAAGAATCTTGACCCTTTGACCTTGACATTAAAGTTTGACCTACTTTTTACAAACTTTAACCTTGGCCATAACTTTTGGACAGTATGGGCCAGTGCTTTCATACTCCCCATACATAATCTTTGAGACAAGGCCTTTCTTTAGAACACAACAACCTTGACCCTTTGACCTTGACCCGGAATTTGTCCTATCTTTTAAGATGTTAACATTGGTCATAACCCTGGAGCAGGTGTAGTTAGTGTTTACATTTCTAATTTTTTGTGAAAAGACCTTACTTTGGTACCAATTAACATATTTGATTTGCATTTGAGAAAGCTTAACTGTCACTAAATTGCCGTACGGGGGCATCAGTGTTTCACAAACACATCTTGTTTTTCAGTAAATTTTAACCTGCTTTGTATTAGTGGATTATTTTTTTTAGCATTAAATGTTTGTAGCAATTAAGATCTATTTCACAAGGATAAGATGTTCATATATTTTGCCATCTCTCTGCATAAAATAAAATTTAGATGACCATAATATTTCTCACTATAGAGAGTATGTTTCCTGTTTATAGAACATGGTTTATGGATTTTGGTAAATTTTTCTGTCTGTTCAAATTCGCCTGCATGGCACAGTGGTTAGAGTGTCTGCTCTAGTAGAGTCGCAAAATAAGGTGTTGATCCTTACATCATGAGTTTGAATCCCACTGTGGGATGTGGAGACCTGTCCTTGGGATGATACAGTATAACTGTGGCCCCTTGTTGCAGTAGGTCAGGTGTTGGCACAAAAAAGATCCTTTCCTGCTCAATCAGTCAATGGCCCTGAGTGCTGAGTATAGGTCATTAGGACAAAATTTGCAGCTCTCCACTGTCGTTTCCATATGAGTGAAAAATTCTTGAGAGGAAGGATAAACAATAAACAATCAATCTGTCTGTTCAATTTATTCACTGATATTACACAACTGTATACACTAAAACTTATTTATAGCAGAGGTACAAGAGAACCAGTAACACAGATAAAAGATGCAGTTCCTAAGAGATCCAAAGTCAGCAGCACCTAAGACTATACTGATCATGACTTTGAATTATCAGCATCCAAAACAATGCAAATCAAATACAGGTATGAAATTGATGCAACAAATAAGTTCTAAGACAAATATAAAATTTATTTTTTATAAGACATAGCATATCAAAACTAGTGCTAATTGTAACGGGGACCGTTACAGATGTTCCCCAAACGCTCCCCAACTCCCTTTTGGTGCTATATTTCCTGTAAGCTTCATTAAATAAGACAAACTCTATGCATTTGAGACTTTAACAACGTTTACCCAGAAGTGTACCAAGTTCATTCAAATTTTAGCATTGCACGCGTGCACATGTAAATGCATGTGCGTAATGACCATATTATCTTGTCTACACAATGTATATATTCTACTATACTAAATATTAAAGAATTGAATCAAAAAGTATTTAAAAATACGCTCATTCAAGTGTATTTTTAATTTTACTCATTTCACGTGCACGCACGTGCATACACGAGCATGGTGACGATACCTTCTTGTAGAATTCCATTACATCTATCTATGTTCTAAATCACGTCCCGTTTGGCTGAAAACCAAGGGAGTTATAGCTGTTCAAAGTTTCAGCCAATCAGATTGCAGCGCACGTACACGCACGTTTACGCATGTGCAGGTGACCATACCTTCTTGTAGAAGTCCATTATATCTATCTATGTTCCAAATCCCACCCCGTTTGGTTGTAAACCAAGGGAGTTATAGCTATTTAAAGTTTCAGCCAATCAGATTGCAGCGCACGTGCATGCACGTGATTTTATTATAATTGTTATATATTATTTTGTAGGATATCCTAATGCATGGCTATGTTCAAAATTTCAAAGGATTTTGCTAAAAAACAAAAAAGATATTGAGACTTTAGTTTCAGCCAATCAGAGCGAAGTGCACGCGCATGCGCGTGAGATCTTGCTTTTTTAATCATGTGATATTGCCTATGCTACTAATATATCCTTATATTATGAGTTTTATAGCATTTCATCAAAAATGTAAAAAGTTACGCCTATATCAATTAAATTGGTCATTTCACGTGTTGCACGTGCACGCTCTTGCAAGCACGTGCGCGCAAAATGACCTTCGTTCCGCCAATCTACATAACATGTCTACTGACCCTAAAAACATTTCACCTAAATCGGATGTGTAGTTTACAAGATCATTCGCGGACAAAATTTTCCCGAGAAGAAAAATAATAATAACTAGAATCTTGTTGCCACGGCAACAAATAAGTCTTCCGTTCTTCTAAATCTGTAAGAATTTGCTTCTTTCTATGCAAAAATCATAGATATCATATGTACTCTTAAAGAAAAAATGCTACAAAAAGGTCTTTCAGTACTTAAGGTACTTTGATTTTCATGACCAATCTTGTTCTTATGCATTTTGGCACTCATAAGAGCTACACGTGTATCATAGACAAACCAACAGACGAACGAACACCGTATTCTCATAAACTTCGCTGTGTTTATGTTCTGGCACAATTGTGATGGTGTTATATATGTCATGAACTAAGTTAGTACCACATTAAACGTAAATTCGTTGATTTTTACAGTAACACTATCGAGATTTGTTAGCAGAAAGATTATTCAACTACAGGAATTATTCAGCAATCGATTAATTGATTATATGTTGTTTAAAAAGTCCCTCTCGAGAATTTTTCACATGGAAAAGCCTTCACTCGCCGGTGGAGACTGCAAAATGTTGTCCTATAATTTGGCTCTAATCGCCATTGAGCAGTGAGGAATCTTTTTGAGTCAGTACCATCTGACACACGGGACCTTGATTTAAATGATCTCATCTGACGGACCGGTCTCCACGTCCCACAACTGAAGTCCATAATACAGATATATGATGCTCTAGCCATGTTTTTATTTTATTTTTCATTTCTCAAATTTGTTGCATCAGATTTTCTTAAAGATCATACTTAATAAAAATCATTTCGAACAACTTTATTGCAATGCATACAGCGTCCGGTGATTTTGATTGACAGGTCAGTACATGTGCACTTAGTGTAATACTTCTTAAGCAGAAAAAATATACAGAGAGTGACTATGAAGAACTATGAAATCAGAAAATATTTAATAAAGAATGGGTACAACTGATATAGAACTGATTTTTTGTCTATGTAAATGGATAGGATAATCAGGATTAAAAGGGAATCTCTCTCTCTCTCTCTCTCTCTCTCTTTCTCTCTCTCTCTTTCAGACAAGTAAATTTCAGTATCTTGCGTAATGAAAAATCTAATATTATAGAATATGAATTCTGTATACATGTTAATAATTATAACCAAATGTTCCAGATTTAATTGTATAACGAATTTATAATTCAAAGGCCTATAGTTGCAATAATGTCTCCGAATAAAATCAAGAGGGGGGGGGGGGGGGGGCTTAAAAAGAATTACATACACGGTAATTTTATGTTTTATGAATTAAAAGGAAAATACTTAAGGTTGCATGTACATACATATAATTATATAGCATTGCATAAAATTGTGTTCATTCGTATATACTTAATCTAACATATCAACAGACCTTTGCAGATGTTTTTGTATCATGTTTTTAGCGTAGCATTATTTCACACAGAAACGCGCAACTTTCACATAATGTTAAGCCTTTGAGTACTAGTACTTCACAAAAATCCAAGAATCGCTTTTTCTCATCTTTAATAACTTCTCGGGTATATAAAATTATAGATCATGTATAATAAATAACACTATAAGACTTAATCAATGAAATATACGTGTTAAAACCAAATCCAATCTATAGATTGATTTTCTTTCTTTTAAGTTGCAGATATCAATTTATTTCTAAAGGCTTTACACCTACTCTTCTATCTCTCAGTTCCCTTTTGAGTACATATAATATTTTAGAATCGAAAATAAAACTCGGATTCCGAGATAATTTCGCATTCAAATTAGAGAATGAATTAAGAATATTTTTTTTAAATATAATCATAATAGACATTACAGATTTACACTACGCTGACAACTTTAAACTATGCATATACTGAAAGCAGTAACCAACGTAATCTTTCATGCAGAAGTGGATATGGAAACTCAAAGTCTAATTATTTTTTTTATGTGAAAAGTGTGGATATAGACGTCTGCGACGTCATGGATACTACCTCCGCCTTTATCTCGAAAGTTCTATTCCCACTTACAAGTCAGAGTTATCTATCTTTGCTCATTGTCACTACGTAAATAGAGAAAATGAATTTATTGACGGAACCTTAAATCTCCAAAATGCAGAATCCGATTGAATAAATAATATTTTTAGTATTTTTGTAGAATAATTTGTATATACATCGCTGTAATGTATACTGCGTACAATATTATTTTCTTCAAAGTGCTTATAGTTGACACAGAACGGATATTTATTTTAGATATAAAGTTGTAAATCAAAAACTTTCAATATACAGACTAACACTACACAGCCAAATTTAAACTAATATGCATATAGTGAATTAAGTAACATGCAAAAGAGAGAATATTGAATGTGTAAATATGTTGATTTGGAGAGCGTACATATGTCTCTAATCATCAGCACTATTTCCGCCTTTATCTCGAAAGTTCTATTCTCATTCACAGGTCAGAGTTATCTTTCTTTGCCCACCTTATACATACTATGTAAATAGAGAAAATTTCGGTACCGAAAATATACAAAATGAGGAATCTGATTTAAAAACAAATTATATATTTAGTATTTGTAGAAAAATGTCTGTTTTACGTAAGAATATCTTGAAAAAATATCTAAAAATAAAAAAATCAAAAATTGACCAAAAACAAATTCACTTCCGGTTCGGACAGGAAGTACTGGAAACACACGAAAACAACTTCAAAACAAATAGAATATCATGATCTAATATTCCTGTAAATTTCATATCTTTACCTCAAACCGTTTCTGAGAAAACTGCCGGACAAAAGTCCATTTTAAAATTCGAAAATCGGCCATAACTTCGGACCGGAAGTGAATTTTTCAAAAAACGGAATTTTATATAAACTTCATATATCAACCTACTAACATGAGAAAAATTGTGAAAATCTATCCAGCCATCTCTGAGTAATCGCGCTCACAAAATTTGGGAGGAATAATAATAATAATAATAATAATAATAATAAAAAGAAACAATACAAACACTATAAGTCTTCCGTTGTGAACGGAAGACTTAACTAGAAACGATCTCGTTGCGAGCAACGAGTAGGTCTTCCGTCCGATTCCGAAAAATAACCTATAAAATCGAGCTGAAAATGGATTAAACATATTTTGGATACACTGGTAATTGAAACGGGTCACTAGCGTGAAAATCCAGTACGCTTATCGATTACGCTATTTGAACAACTGCTCTTACTTCACTTGTATGTACATATAATTCTGCAACAGTTAATCTGTCTTGGAATTAGGAAAGAAGGGTCACTATTCATAATTTCGCGCCAAACGCAACGAGTAAATCTTAGCAAATTTCTCTTGGAATGTTCATGGTCCTTCGGATGAGACGGTATAGACCGAGGCCCCGTGTCACAGCAGGTGTGGCAGGATAAAGATCCCTCCCTGCTCATTGGCCCTGAGTGCCGAGCATAGGCCCAAATTTGCAGCCCTTCACCGGCAATGGTGCCGTCTCCATATCAGTGAAATATTCTGGAGAGGGACGTTAAACAGTATACAATCAATCAATCAATCGTATAAAGGCAAATAAAACTAAAGCAGTGAAACAGCTATGAATGATTAATTTTTCAATTTTCAATCACGAAAGTTGACTATTCCGATTACTTACACTTTCATGAAAAAGGTGGTATGTTTCACCGAAAAAAAAATGCCTCGATCGCCCTACGAGGGTCAAGAAATAAGATTCCATTATGTTATTGTTTGTGTGAAAGGCCAGTATGAATGTATTGAACTTAGCATTATTTTTACACCGATATGGGTTCGATGAAAATAGCAACAGTCAATTGTCAAGGGTTAAATACACAATCAAAGAGAAAAGATGTACTAAACTTTTATAAAACAAAAAATTATTCTATAGTTTGTTTTCAGGATACCCATTTTACAACTTGACTTAGAATCATGTGTAGAGACTCAGT